CACACACAGAGTTGTGTGAAAAGTGTTTGCCCCCTTCCTGATTTCTTATTTTTTTGCATGTTTGTCACACTTAAAAATCCAAACCTACATGGCCCTGTGTGATGTCAATCTGATGTATCATTATTGTTACTAATCCCAATATATTGCTGCTCGGTACATGTATCACCGTGTCGTCTGAGAGTTTGGTGATAAAAACCTGCAAATTGGATGATGCTGATATCTGAGAATGGTCTGCTGCCTGGGAGAAATGGGAAGGTATGATTTAGTTCAGTTATCTGTTTGATTATCAATAGCAACAGTAGGACAGTTTTTCCCCAAAGTCAAGATGTAATACAGTCCACCCTAAAGACGCTCATCCAATTTTCAGTATTGGCTCCGATCCAGAGATCGCAAGGCTCTCCGTGGACATGAGGAAAGATCCGATAATGTTTAAAAATAAAGAAATAAGCACTGCTAATGTGCGGTTTCAGTTGTACCGTGGCGATTGTGAATGTGTGCAAAGTGGAATATACAATCATGACATTGAGGAGAAATTTGTACAAAGAAGTGAATGTTAAATCGCTGAAAGGTTTTTGTTAAGGGTAACCGCGAGGAAGATAAATCAGGATTATTATTTTTTTCGAGCTTACTGTACAGGCGTTTACTACATTGTGTCTGCCAGTACGCAATGGGCTCTTTCTTAACCTAGTGTAGAAGTTTGCATCTGTTATTTCAAGCTTCTCAATGTTAGACACTTTAGAGCAAGCACTTTGTACACAAACACACACACACACACACACACACACATATATAGATATATAATGTTAAAAATGGTATTCAGATTGAGTATTTTGGACTGAATCAAGTCTATGACCTGTTGTTTTAAAACAGCATTATCTTGTTGTTTTTTAGTCGGCACAATAATCAGACAATGAGGACCCTTGGATAAGCTTTGTGTCCGACAGAGTTAATGGGACATATGTTACACTACCAGATTGATTGAATGTACTGTAATGGAGTATTTAATGTTTGTTACGATCTATGGATACATAGAGCAGATAGATACAGTATTTTATGAAGTCATATCAAAATATAGGCAGAGGGGAATAGTTACATGGTAAAGTTACACCCTTGCCGACTTTGTGATTTCAGCATTTCATTAATATCAAAGTGCATTTGAAGGGGCTACAGTGTTTTATTTTGGCCTCCAAACTTCTTCTTTTTGTTTTTGTTTTTTTGCTTCAGTTCAAGGTTGGTTTTTGTCACTCTGAGAGCGCCTGGAAGTAATCTTGAGTGCTGGAATCTATGACGGTTGTAACTCTTTATTATGGAGCGTTCGGCCAGACATTTTTCAGGTTGTTGGCGAAGTAGTTTAATTCTTGACTTTGAGTGCAGCGGGCTGGCATTTTTATGACACTGTTCAGTGGCTCCTCTCTGTGTTCCTACCCATGTGTTATTTATTGGTCTGCTTAGAGCCCTCGGATCACCCCACCACCTCATCTGACCACAGCGAGTGGGACAGCGTGAGTAATGCGTGCACCGTCATCCAGGCTCGTAAAACTGGAACTATTCTCCTTCTCAGAGTTTGGAAACGGCTGCATTGCGGTGTGGGAAACCTCAACACCATAATTTATCCGCTCGCTTCATTAATTGCCCCATATTTTCAGACCCCGTTGACCTTGGAGCCACTGCCCTTGTCTGTTGGTCTGCGGTTAAGCTCGAGGCCGAGAACTGTGTTGATCTTTGATGATTTATATTCTCTATTGTTACCCGTTGAACCTCTCTGGTGTTGTATGTGTGAGCTTTCAACCAGTTACGCAATAAATGTATATACAGCATCTTAATCCTCTTGTGCATGGTATTTTATTTGTCATCAGTTGTACTCAAAATAAATGAAAGCAAACATTTGAACTGGTGTGTTTTAAATTGTTCATCGTGCTTATCTCACAAGTGCTTAATCGGTACATACTTTCATGACTTTGCATCATTGTTTTCTGTTTTAATTTAATTCACTTTTTAAAAATAACAAAAAATGTACTCATAAATTGGGGTCCTGGGAGATCCCAGTCTAAAGCACCCAATCCTGTCTATGCAGTTTTAGATGGATGGAACTATTTATTGAATTCATGTTTGCCATGGGTCCTAGTTTACAGTATCACTCTCTATAAAGGGGGGTTCGGGCACTCTGTCAGTCGTTTCGAAGGAGATGGACACAGATTTTCTCATGTGCTCTATTTTCATTTTAGACAATGTGCAAATTGTGAAGTTTTTTTCATTTATTATTTCCTATTGGGCCAGGATGGTTCTATTGTGATTTTAAATCTCTTTTCCAACGGGGTCCTTCTCAGGACAGCAGCATGAAAGATTCACACAAGCACATAAAAGCATGAATATTACACTTAAAACAAAACCGCTAAAAAATATGTATGTTTTTAAAAACACACTTAAAACAAATGCATCATCAAGTTGGCAGTGTAATTCAATACTAAGACAAGTACAGTTAGAAGTTAAAAAGTTTAAATTGCCTGTTACAGAAATAAACTGTAACCTTTCTAAAATAATCACCTGTTTCTTTCTGCTTACATTAATTAAATAACTAATAGCTTTTCTCTTCTCAAAACATTAACACTTTGCTGTGATGGCTGTTCCTTACTGTAGTTTATTCTTGAGTTCCCCAGTCGGTAGTCCTTGTATGTCAGATATGGCAGTAGGATGAGGGTTAAATTGGACCCAGTATTTGACTAAACCAATAATCTAGTATTAGTGTTGCAGAAGTAAATGAGACCAATTAGACCTCACTGGGTTATCCAGATCATGTTACTTATAGTGATTTAGAACATAATTCTGTCGTGGAATTCATTTGAAATGTAACTCGTGGAACAAAAGACCTCCTTAACTCACTGCCAACTGTGTCAGTGAAAGTACACGAGCAGCATCCGTCAAAGTTAAAGTAACCTCAGATCAGCACTCCATGACAGAAAATAAAAGGATGTTGATCAAGGAGATGTACAGCCCACTGTGGTCTGAGAACTCCAATGCAAATAGAGCTGTGTGTGTCTGAAAGAATTGTCGGCATCTGTGACGCTTGCAGGATGGAGAGCGCGTACTTGTTTGTGAGCAACACAAGGGCATTTTGTGTGTGTGAACGAGTTCACAAGTGTGTGTGTGTGTGTGTGTGTGTGTGTGATTCTCCCTCCTCGCTGGCGAAGTAAGTGGAGAGGAAGCGGCTGCAGAAGCCGCCGTGCATCGGGGGGAAAGCATATCGGACAATTAAGTCAGAGGCTGTGTATTGCTCTGTGTGGGGCTGATTGAATCAGAGAGACAGCCACTCACAGCTCTTCGTCTCAGGACATTGCAGGTAATTACCCATAAGTCACTGTTCCCCTGTATTGGATCTTCAGCCCAATTACGCCCACAGAGGCAGTCCACCAAGGCCTCATTTATTTCCTCCGGTTGCCTGTTGACCTTTTCAGACGCACAGTCAGACAGGCAATTCAGATTCATTACACCGAGGAGAGGGTGTTGCACCCTGTAGTCTTGAAGACAGTTTCGCAGATTTTCACCTGTAAGTTGATGTAATTATATAAGATTTACTACATAAAAATGCGCAAAAGTTGTCTCTTGATGATGGCATATTCAATAACACTTGCATGTATACAATCACAATCACTCTGTACCACATTAACAAATGAAATATCTTACTTTAGATAGATTAAAAACTGTTTACTACAGTCTGTTGATAGTATTATCAACACAAGAAAAGAGATATACTAAGTGTATCATCAATCTATAATGTGTTAATGGGTATATGTCACAAACCAGCTAAATGAGGAACCACAATATGTAAAACCACAGCTGACCAAACAGGACGGTTACTTTTTTTCGGTTTAGATTAGTTTAACTTAAGTGACGTTTCATCACCTATAGACACGTGACCTACATGTTTGTTCATTTGCAAAGACGGAAACAAGACAAAGACGGCTAACGTGCATGATCCTTAAAAATGCAAGAGTAATTCAAGAGTGTGGTGAGCCGGTTTAAGAGGACGAGCTCCATCAGTAAACTGTTGAGAGTGTGGTGGGTGGTTTATAGTGTGGATCTTCATCGCCATCTGCTGAAATCTGGAGGAAAAGTTGAAGGGAACCAATTATATAAATATCTAATATATATTTTTAATGAAAACAGTTTTATCTAGCAAACAGCATTGGTGACGTAAAGACTTAGGATCTGTCTACTGGTCTTAAACAGCATGCTGGAGACTCTTATGGAGCTTATGAAGTATTGTGGGTAATATGATCCCTCTGCTTTGTTCAAGTCACATGCGTCCAACTCCTCAGGCACGTGCACGATAGTTGACAGATATTGCCAAGAGTCACTCCCCCCCCAGACCCAACGATTCTTCTCACACAGCAAATTTGAAAGTCAGTATGCTTAAATAAAGACATTCACGGTCAGTTTGTGTTTTAGCTTTAAGAGGAGAAACCCTAGCTGGATTAGGTAACATTAGATATCCCCTTAAAACTTCCCCAGTTGATTACTTACAATCAAGCCAATTATTGTTTGTATTACACGTTTTCAGAAATGTTATTTTTGACTCTTATCTTATTTAATATGTGCTAATTTGGATACATTTCTGGACACATAATGATGCCACTTTCAAAATGATTGTTTCATTTTGTTGACATATTCAAAGGTTTTTACAGAGGGAATTTTGGATGTCACCTTTTTATCAATCCCTAAATAAGTCTATAAAAAAACGTTTTCAACATGTTTTTAGGAATAAAATGTTCTATTAATCAATATCTAATGCTATCTTTTGGTGAACCTAGTATAATTCCACTAACACAAAATAGACGGAATAGTAAAATAAACACCTTCATGCTTATTTTGGTTGTTTTCTTGCACTAGTCTGAAGGAAAATGATGCAAAATAACCCCAAATCTTAAAATTGACGAGCCCACGAAAAAGCAATGTGTTTGCCTGTTGTGTCGCCCCTTAACAAGAAATCACAAACTCAAAAAGTAACTCAACCATCTTTATTCAACACTCAGTTTCCATGTTTGACAGCCTTCTCACAACACAGTTCTCTGTGCAAGCATCAGGTTTTCAGGGTGACTTTTAATCTTCCCGCTGAAACCATCATTGAGTACAGAGTGTATTCCAACATCGCGTCACTCTCATTTTCCCTCTGCCCTTTTCCAAACAATAGAGTCTTGTATTTTTTTTTTCCCCTTGCAAAGGAATGCTAAGCACTCAGCATTCAAAATGTGCATGTTTGTGGGTAAAGAAACACCTGATATATGTTTAAGCTTGCAGGCTCTAAGAACGACACGAAAAATAAGCATACAGACAAACACATCAGTGGTATAAACTTTTAAAGGCTTGCTTTTAAATTTTGTAAGGATTGTTTTCCCAGTAACGGACCAGTACTTTTCAGGTTTTCCCCAACAAAAAAATGTGGCATTGACTGCAACCTTCTTTAAGGTCAATCTGATGTCATTTGGTTTTGTTTTTGCAGATTCAATACGGATTTTTTCTTCTTCTTCTGTTTCCTCAAATAATCTCCTGTGCTTCCCTTTGAAATGTTTAACGTGTTTATCGTGTTCCTGAACCCACCCTCTCCTCTCTCTCCAGCCTGACCTCATACAGACGCCACTAGAGCGTAGTTTCCGCGCCTGGCTTCATAAAGGACGGAGAGAGCTAAATGGAGGGGGCCCATTCGTGAACACGACAACCACGTGCACGCCTGAGAAAGGATGAGGGCGACCCGCTGACACACACACGTGGAGAACAGGTGAAACACGGCATACGTTCTTTAAGGCACGATCTAATTATTTGCGTGCCTGTCGCCAAATGAGTTAACGAGCTGCCAAATCGTTGGCATTATTTAATCTTTATCAATGTGATGTTGGACTCGTGTTCATCTATCCCACGTGCATGCATGTCAGGGGTCACCCTGCCCTCCCTCAGGGGTAGTTGGCATAAAAGAGCGCTTGGCCCCGGTGTTTCTGGATGGTCTTAATAAGAGGCTGAAATCAGAGTCAGCCTACAGCTGCTCTCATCCTCAGCTCGCACCGGCGGGTCAGGCTCATTGAGCTGGCTGAGGCTGCTGTCAGTCAGCGGGGGGCGAGCGTCACTGTCAGGTCTCCCTGACACTATTGGTTGCGTCGCCAGTCAGTCCGTGTCACTGTCAGGAGGCGGGCAGCGCCTCGTCACAGTGTCACAGGCCGAGCGGCTGCTCGCTCCCCGCGTTGCCAAACAGCCTGCGTCAGTGTCAGCATCAGCTGGCCTTGGGAGAGGCTTCGTTGTCGGAGCCTGCTGCCCACTGTCAGCTGTGCTTTGACTTGCAGCTGGCCTTCTCTTGCACTCAGGGCATCACAGGGGCCCCGGGGGCCTCCTGTGCTATCTGCATCTGGCCTAAATCGAAGTGATGTTGCCCTTGTGATAGCCCGGCATCTCGCTCGTGCCCCTGGTGTCTTACACCTTGCTGGCCAGCGCCATTGTGGTCTCCATGACCACGGTGGCGATCATGGCCCCGGGGTTGAACACCGTGATTATCCCCATGGTGGCCATGACCATGGTGATGGTGACCACGCCCAGTGTCTTCCTCTACAGCTGGGGGAGCGTCTGCATCAGGCTGTGCGACTGCTTTCTCTGCGCACTCCTCTGGTGTCTCAGTGCTCTGGGTGGGGGGGAAATAAAGTGTTTGAGCTTATTTTTGAATGAACATATTATCTGAGGACTCATGCTCGTTGAAATGAATGTATATTCTTGCAGTCATGTGTGGTTTGTACCTCGTGCGCACAGTCCCCACATGTGCGTTTGCAGTAGGCATCTTTGATCGCGCCCTCCACATAGCCTTGCCCGATGATGGAGTAGGGAAGGGAGATGTGGTGGGTGAGACGGCCACACCTGATGAAAAAGGGATAGAAAAGCATGGTGAGGAACTTGGAGGGAAAAAATGAAAGCAGTTGCTCTGGATTTCGAACCACCGCGGGCAACAAACCTGTCATAAACGAGAAAGTCATCCTTCCCTCCGCTCAGTGCCTGCCAGACATCAGGCTGCTGCTCGTCCTGTTTGTAGAGGGTGATGTTCACCGACAGTCTCTGTGCCAGCATGGTGTGGAGGCGCAGTGCTGGCTCCCCCTGCTGGTTAACGACCATGTAGGACACGTTCTTCAGACCCTGACCCTCCACCGTTTGGCGCAGGCCGTCCATTCTGCTCAGATGAGGGGTGGGTGGGGGGGGACGGACAAATAATTAAAAAACAGTTGCCCAACGACAAAGCTGCTGATAAAGCTTCCCTGGTTAGTTTGCTTCACAAACAAACATGAGCTTCTTCAACGGGGAACTTTGTTGCATAAGAAGGACATGTTTGAGCCTGCCGCACCTCGCTGCCAACTTTGGCAAACCTTGCAGAACGGGCCATAAAATGAATGTCATGCTTTGCAGCCGATTTTTGGGGCTCCTGTGGTGATGCCATGCTGAGTCATGTTTGCTCTTGAAAGACAGAAGTGCATTAATAAGAGTTGAGGTGGGGCGGACGCTGGCACACACCTGGAAGCCTGCACCAAGCAGAACAATCAGCTGGCCTGTAAAAGGGCCACCACCGTCACCTGGCCCATCGTGCCCTTCATCGGCTCCACCTCTCCTATCCTCCAGGACGGAGGCAGCTGACATCGAGGCCCGCCCCCGACACTCTCCGCACCGCCCCCGTGGAGCTGGCAGAGAGTGACGAGCAGGCTGAGGCACGCCCACATTCTCGTGGTGCCTCCTCACTGGGGGAGGGAAAAGTTAGGGAAGGGATGAGAGTGGTGGAAAAGGGAGGGGAGCACATCAGAGATTGGTCAACCTCAGGCAGAAGTGATAGAATTATACAAAAGGTCAGAGAAGGGTTACAATTTTACCAATTTTAACATTCCACAAATCCTTCTAAAACTGATTATATATAGCTATAGAAGACTGTGCAACTAGTAGAGTGACCAAAGCAGTTTATTTGAGGTTCCCAAATCATGTTGCTGCTGTACAAATGTAAGCTTGTGCATACACAGTTAACACAAAGAAACAGCACAGAGTTGAACAGCCAACCTGCTTGAGTGCTGAAAGCACAAAGTAATAATGTTCCGCATTGTGTTGCCACATGCAAGACAGGCAGAAATACATGTCGCTTTCTGGGGTTTTACTGCATTTTAGGCAACTCGATGAACTGCAAATAATTCTGTCACTTACCCTTTTGGTTAAAAAGTTTCCCTCTCTCTGCTCAGCTCTGCGTCACTGCAGCTCCTTGAACAAAAACAAGTCTCCTCCTCCACCGCTCCCCCCTTTTATACTCTGCCTGTTGTTTTTCTATTTGGAGGTAGGACAAAGTTCAGCCCCAGCTGTATGCTGATACCCACACTTTTCTCAAGTAAAAAAGGAAGTCTTATGGTGCTTGCATGAATTCCCCTTGTTGACAGGATTCAAACTCGTAGCAACTGGCATTTTGACAAATTCCTTCAGGAGAAGGAGAAACAGTTGCCTCTTCATTGCGGCCGGTCAAGATATACAGTATTTCAGCCTCGGAGATAGTGCTTGCCTTTCAAATCAAGTTGAATGCTTTTACATTGTGTATATGATAGAGGTGAATTATGAGTCCCCAAGAACATGGAAGAACATTGTGCAATTCTGTTTTTCACATTCAGCGCAGAGAGGGGAAGTGAAAAAGGACAAAGGGTGGGACTCTGGTCCGTCTCCAGCATGTTTTTGCAGAGTTCACACAAACACAGCAAGAAAATGTGAACAAGTGACATTATCGAAGGATAAAGTATCCTGCAGTTTAATACACAAAGACAGTTAAAGTAGGAAAATATGAACAGAGTTTTGTATATGGGAGATCAAGTAAGCAAATTATATATAGTTAGAGGCAGGCCCAACAGAAAAAAAAAGTACAATTAGTTAGAACAGAGGAAATCAGGTAAAGTGAGATTATGAACTTTATATTGAAGAAATTTAGAGGGGACGAAGAAACAAAAAACATCCTTTACAATCCGGCTTCACATTCTGAAGCTAAGCTTCAGGCACGTTACTATTTATTCTGGAGACCCTGATTTAGGTGAGGGGGCAATTATTGCGTAACAAAGCGTCAAAGTCTAACCAGGCAGCTGAGATTGTCTGTCTGCAGAGCAAACAGAAGGCCAAACAGTTTGAGGCGGTGTGAGGACTGTTATAAGAATAACTAGGCCATTAGTGACATTGTAGTCAAGCAAAGAATAAAATGCGTGTGATTATATCTGAAACTATGGTGAGCAGTGCACGCAAAGGACACAATAAAAGTAACAATTGCCCCGCAGAAAGTTCTATATTTGCAGCTTGTTGTTGTAACTGTGTTAGAGAAGTGTCTGCTTTTCTCCATGGTGATTTTAAAGATGTGTTAGGAGTCTACAAGATTCAGTTACAGTTCTCGCAGTTAAATATTTGAGATAAGACAAGTGGTGCAGTTTAATAATTCCTGCTGCGTGTGCTGATGTTTAGGAGTTCTGCCAGGAACACAGAGCCACACGCTGTAGCAGAGTTAGTTGACTTGGTGGTATGCTTTAACTTTTCGAAAGTGTTTGATGCCATTTGACATGCCAGGACTAGCTTTCTGTGTGTCTGCCACTGTGACATATATGCTCCTTATAGGAGCACACTGACCTGCAAAGAAGAATGGATATGAGGACATTTCAAGAGCTTTGACTTGATTATATTAATCCACAATAAACTATAATAACTAACAGTTAAACAGATCATAATCGTATAAACCTTTGTCAGCATAAACCATTCTCAGAGATACTTCACACTTTGGTGACTGTGAATTGTAGATTGTAACACGTGTAACACAATTATGCCCAGAATTTTCACTTCTTTATAATTTAGAACATTGTAATAGCTGTTCGTGTTTTTTCAGTCATTCATTGCAACATCCCGAGTAAGCTACTTTTCAACTCCCTCTGTTTTTTAACATTTTACTTGTCTTTACTGTGACAGTATAATTTATTTGTATACAGTAAATACTTTTTCTGTATATATTTATTTTAGTATGTAGAATGATTTGATCGGATTAGTTAGGCCTTATCTTATCTCTACAGACTTCAACCTTGTATAAAGATGAGTGATGAATGCTGAGATGAATGCTTTGTTTGTGTATGTATTTGAGTGAATGGCTTGCAAAAGCTGCAGTGTTATGACATCTGACGTGATCTATAGCATGCTGCTGCCCAATGAGAACAGAATGAAAACTTACTTTAAGTACGATATTTTGCTATAGGAAGATGCCCCCTCTTTAGTTATGTTTGAATGCAGGGCTTTTTCTTGTATCTTGTGTTTTAATAGTCCGTTTTTGTCCCTTTAGTACCACTGCTTAACAGTGACAGACATACACACACTGTGGTCTAACGTAAGCCTATGCATTACACATTACTTGAAGTTGATATAACTTTCTGCATTATCAATGGCACATTATGGTATGGTTGTTGTTTATTATATATGGTTATTTTGATAGGTAGGCTGCGTTGGCAGTCTTACTACTATTAAATAAAGATTCTAACGTGATGTAAATGAAATTTGAAGACGCTATTATCCGTTTTGGTTGTTATAAATTTGCTTTTTCATTGATCAGAAGAACAGAACATCAGATGTAAACAGTCGTCACTCACCGCTGTCACTAAGCAACGCTCCTCAGCGTCCTTGACTTCGCAAGGGTTTCTGGGAAACCGAGGCCGGAGTTCTGAACGACCGCCCTTTTTGGAGCAACGAAAGTAGAACAGCGCTACATGCGTCGAGGGAAATATTATCGCAAAGCAACTTTCTGAAGCAGCGTAACCAAACTCGAGGTATGAGTGCCGATGGTTTGTGACGTGTATTTTGACCCACGGCGGTTATAATTAGGAAACCTATCTGGGAAAAGTGTATTTTAATGCGCGGTTTGATGACGTAATGTTGATTGTCAAACGCGAAATGGCGAGTGTGCTAGGAGGCCCGTTACCTTCGACCCTCTGGGGTTGTAGCATGTTTATTTCCTTCATGTTCCAGTATCGAAACGATTACATTGGTATGTCTAGTCCCGGTGAGTTCGGCTTTGATTACATACATGTCTGGGGCATGTGACATGACTTGTTTTGATTTTCTTTCGGGGGCGGGATTGTATGTTGTGCTAGTTAAGCTAGCATCGAGATGTACTAGCAAAGGTGTTCACGTTAGCTAAACGAACAAACGTGTGGGGTCATTCGTTGAATTCTTTGCTGGTCTCCTCGTGTGCCACGCAAGGGTCCGTTATTACAAATAACCGGGGTGTTTAAAAATAATAATTTTACACTTTTATTTCATTTTTTGTTTTATTTCGTTTTTGGTAAGTGTAACTCGTATGTCAGATAAGTTCACTTCCTTCAACCCAGTACAGTTTAATTACAGTCTGCCTTCGTTGGGCTGCCAGTTGTGCTCTAAAACTGCAAATTCAGTGATGCACACACTCACTCGACATGTCCTTTAATAATATATGGTTCTCTTCACACACTTTCTTTTGGACACAATGATCACATTGAAAGCTATGGTGGTTTAAACTGACTGCATACTTCAACTGTTGACAATATTCAGAAAGTTGTCCCCATTGATGAAACATTTTCTTCCTGTGTGTCGGCTCCCTCACTGTGTAAAATCTGACTCTTAAAGCAATTCCAAAGTCACTTGCAGGGACATGTCAGGTTGGTCAGAAGTTGTCTCATTGTGTCATATTGCTATTGAGGTTCAGTTGAACTGTAGTGCGGTGTTTCAGGAGAGGTTACAAACATAAATCTCGTGTCAGGCTGCACTCACTGAGGTCACAGATTTGGTCTGTGTGGACATCACTGCTGCCACGGCACGGATGTCACCCAAACTTTTGCATCCAAGTGAGTCTGCCCAGGGAGAGTATCACTGTAGGGGTGATGTAGATGAATCTACAGCCGTATATAAATAGCAGTCAAGATATGGAATCATAAACAGACTGCCCAAAATAGTTAATTAATCTTATTTTCTCTTTTGTTTATCAGCACCAAACGATACGGTCAATGATGGCGGCTGAGGTGGAGCAGGAGCAGGAGCTGGAGCGAGGCGACGAGTACCCAGCGCATTACAAAGTCATGATGGACAAACTTAATGAACAGCGACAGCTGGACCAGTTCACAGACATTACCTTGATTGTGGATGGTAAGTAGGCATTTATTGCAGGTCATCTTTGTGGTGTCTTAGTGAAATTCCTAAACAATGCTTCTTATGTCCGTGTCTCCGGTCTCTCTTGCAGGACACCAGTTCAGAGCCCATAAAGCAGTGTTAGCCGCATGCAGTCAGTTTTTCCATACGTTCTTCCAAGATTTCACCCAGGAGCCGCTGGTGGAGATAGAAGGTATTCTGTGCTTTAATTAGAATTTTGATAAAGTAGTCAGACAGTTCTTCAGTTGAAGTAAATCCACACTAAAGAAGAGGTAATTCCCAGATTAATTTAGTCATTAATGTAATGTTCCAAAGATATGTTTTCCTGTGTTCGTTACTGTGTAACGTCGAACAGCTTTCATTCACCATTGCTGCTCTGTCATTCTCTTGTCAGGAGTGAGTAACACAGCCTTTAGCCTGCTGATGGAGTTCACGTACACGGCGACACTAGTTGTAGTCGGAGAAGAAGAGGCCTTCGATGTCTGGAAGGCCGCTGAATACCTCCAGATGCAGGAAGCCATCAAAGCGCTCAACGTCAAGTGAGTCTCGATTCACTTACCGCTGCAGATGATCACTGTCAGAATATAAATGATGTCATTTCCAAATGAAATTGAACCCTTTTTTATGATCTAAAAAGGAATTTGCCTCAGCACTCCTTGGTATGAACATTGTTACCTCTCACCAACAGCTTGTCCTCTCTTGTAGGATAAATGAGAATCCCTCCCTGACGGCAAAGAGCAAAGGTAAAAAGAGGAAGATTGCGGAGACATTTAATGTGATTACAGAAACCCTACCTTCAGTGGAAGGGGAGCAGGTCAGTACGTCCATGGTGGTCACACTCAAAGAGCTATAATTCCTTGCAAAGCAGTAGATTAAGATTGCCTAAAAAACATATCTGTACTTTTTTCTACCACTAACATTCATCCTTTGTTATAACAACTACCTAATGTATGAAGTGCACACATTTAATTGTCAGGACTGAATGTTTTCCATGTGCTCCAGGTGGAGATTGAGGTGATAGGGGATGGGGCCATCGAGGTGGAGGAGACCGGACTGGAGGAGGTGGTCGACGCGGCAAAGAATGCTCAGGCGGCGTCCGACGACTCTGCTTTGGCTCTGCTCGCTGACATAACCAGCAAGTATCAGCAAGGGGAACCTACGCTACAGGTCCTGAAGAAGGGAGGAATAGACGAGGTATACGGACTTGTATTAGCACAGAGCTTCGTTTGAGCGAGAGTGTCATGCTCTCTTGTTTATTAATTGGTAAACTATGTGTATACAGTAAGAGTTCTAGATGTGAGAGGCTTAACCCTGCCTTGCCTGTGTTCGCGCTCGTCAGGAGGTGGTGTATCAGGAGGAAACGGTGACTGCCTCCAAGGTGCTGGAGAATGTCGAGGTCGTAGAGGTCCAGATTTCCCAAGTGGACAACATGTTCCGCTGCAACAAGTGCGATCGCAGCTTCAAGCTGTACTACCACCTGAAACAGCACTTGAAAACACACCTGGGCTCGCTGGAAAAACCCCACGTGTGCAACCACTGCGGGAAAGCCTACACGCGGGAGGGCGCCTTGAAGCAGCACATCACCACGTTTCATTTTGACGCAGAAGAGCTGTCGCGGAACCAGAAACCCCAGAAGAGAGTGCACGTCTGTGAATACTGCAAGAAGCACTTTGACCACTTCGGCCACTTTAAGGAGCACTTGCGGAAGCACACTGGTGAGAATGAAAACACAATAACGCTGGTGGTGTTCAGTGTCGATTTTTCCTACGATCATAATTACGCGTCGTTGACTTGTCGTTACTCATCTAGTATTGAAATGCATACTTGGCTTTATATGTCTATCTGCAGGTGAAAAACCATACGAGTGTCCAGATTGCCACGAGCGATTTGCACGGAACAGCACACTGAAGTGCCATATGGCAGCCTGTCAGAATGGGGCCGGAGCCAAGAAAGGACGCAAGAAACTCTACGAATGCCAGGTACAGCTTGTCCAGAATCAAGGCCCTGCCAGTGCACTGTCTACAGTAGAAAAAAAATAAATACATATATATATTTCACTGAATGCAGATGTGGGAGAGGAGATCAGAGAACTCAATATTTGTCTGACAAATCTGTATATTAGTAGACCGAAGACCGGCAGGGTGTTATCTATCAAAAGAGGACGAATAGAGCTCTTGGGGGCATTTATGTCAGTTAGGGCATCCCCGCCACCTCGTGCCTGCGACCAGGGTTGATGAGAGTGAGAGTTGCCTGAAGAAGGTGGCTTCAAGGAGAGGGGAGAGGTCATCATTAGTGAGCCATGACTCGGTGATGAAGAAGCAGTTTGGATTTTGTGACACTATGAGTGATTTGTTGACAGCAACCTCACATTTAGCAAACCGCATTTCTGATATACCACCCCAGATTCTGATATATGCCTCATTTAGTGTGCAGACTTACTTGAATATGTAATGTACTAATGTAATGTCACAGTTTAGATTGTGGTAGTTTACCTTGAGAAATGAACGATGACTCAGTCATGCGTTTCCTCCTAATGCAAGTCATTTCATATTGAATATCTGCCGATTTCGGGTAGTCGACTTGATCCACTATGGGCCAGATATGCTTCACTGGTGAATGATGTATTCCTGTATTAAAAAGGTCTAGTTTCCATCACAGCTGTCCATTAATGTTTACAAGTAAACAAAGGAATGAAGTAGAGCTGATTGATAGATTTTTGGGCAACTTCTTAAACAATTGATAAAATGTTGGAGACATTTTTTAAGCAAAAATGTCAAATAATTGATGGTTTCATCCAAATTCTTGAAAGAATATGTTGCTTTTGTTTGGTCTTACATTAGTTAACAGAAGATTTTAGTTTTTGGACTGCTGGTCTGACACTAGAGATAAGTGATGACCTCACCGTGGGCTCCAGGCATGTGATGGGTTTTTGTTTTAATAGACACCCACAGTTCCTATGTGACCCCACTGTTTTCTCCCTCATCAGGTCTGCAGCAGTGTATTCAACAGCTGGGACCAATTCAAAGACCATCTTGTGAGCCACACGGGCGACAAGCCCAACCACTGTACCATGTGTGACATGTGGTTCACCCACCCAAAAGACCTAAAGGCCCACCTCAAACACATCCATTCCATTGAGGTCAAGACAGTGGAAGAACTGGTCAGCAACAACGCTGACACCGCCAGCCTCGCCATCGCAACGCAGAGCATAGAAGGAGCCGAAACGGTACTGCTGGACGACGGCATCCAGGTGGAGCACGTGGACGTGATGGAGATGGAGGAGACGGCGACCGTGGTGGTGGAGGACGGAGGGGTGGCGGAGATGTGCGAGGAGGACGTGGAGAGACTAAAGCAGGCCGGGGTGCAGATCCAGGTGGTGCACGTGACCACGACTGAAGTCGACGGGCAGCAGGTGGTGAACTCTCAGGTGGAAGTGGAGATGGAGGGCGAAGTGGTGAGCGTCGAGGAGGCGGAGCAAGCAGTGGCTGTATGAGAATGTGAAAAAAGGACTGTGTCATAAAGGACCTGCAGGACACTCTTACAGTCCTGAGCGGCTGCGGTTTCCTGGTAGCTGAGATATTTTGACATAAAGAACAATGCATGTGAGATACAGCATGTTACCTCAACATGTCCTGCTGTCTGCCATCACATCCAATGACTCCGTTTCCAACTTCTCTCACTCTCTGACCTTATGGACAGAGCTACGGAGACGTATCATTTCCCGCTACTGATCCTGTATTTATTTTTAAGCCGTTTGTCATCATATCACATATTTTCGATGACTCTTCACTGTTTCAATCAAAATTTTTTTTGTTTCTTTGTGTCCTTATTTTACATCCGATTGAATAATGTTCTTTTAGTTTGGGTCACTTGCCAAGACAATTTGATAATGATTGACAGGTTCTTGTTGCTGCATACGTATGGTGCTGGATTTCCTCAGTGCTAATGCTACAGTTTTGTTTAAGCTTATTTTCATATTGAATTTGGGTGTTTTTGTAGGAAAAATGAAATAAAGTTGGTTTCCAGCATGGGCTCCTAGTCTTGCATCCATCTACTGAGTTGATTATCTAAAAGAACCTCTGTTTGAGATCATTATAGTCTTACTTTCACAATCAGTTTTTTCCTTTTTTCTTAAACCTGCTCTGCATCACTTCATCAGCTGACTGGTTAAGTGCCCATGTTGTTGTTACAGCTTGTTTTCTTTGCCCCCCCAGTGGATAACAAAAACCTATGCAGTTTTGAGGAAGTTGGTCGAATGCAGATTAATCCATTTTAGAAAACTTTTTTTTGTTTCAAAAATAAAGTTCCTAAATTGGGAGAAGATTTTTTATTTCTTTTTTAAAGTTAAACACTGAAGTTAGTTGTAAAGTTGAAGATGTTTTTCCACTCATCCAAGAGGCTCTTTCAGATGTGCTGATTAATGAGGAATCCCAAGGATTACAATTTTAGAATCATCTCAAATACTCAAATGTCCCATGACACACAACAGGCAGATAAGTACACACTAAATAGTCATAACTGCAATATCTCGTGAACCGCTTATGGCATCTACTTGACTTGATTTCATTTCTTGGGACACCATTGAGTGTTTCTCTCTCTCGAATTCTTGGCAATTTGGACATGCGAAAATTGCAATATTAAGAAACTTTGAATGAAAGGACGACAATTCCTTTCTGCTAAAAAAATGTGGTTCTGTTGGCGTTAGCTGAATGCCGTTTTCTTAACCCTTACATACTGTTCGGGTCACATTTGACCTGTTTTGACATTTGACAGCAAATTTGATGACTTTTCCTAAAGTGACCCAAAATACACAAAAATGAAAATATTTTAAATTGTTTTACTGTTGTACAGGTCCTACAAATGTTTCTACATTGAGGCTGTTTCGGGTCAAATTTGACCCGTATCTATTGAGATGGATTTTAGATCTACCAGTGTGGGTCAAATCAAGGGAAATGGTGGTTTTAGGGGAATCTTGAAACTGAAACCATACAGGCCATGTTTGTGTGACAGTGGTGACAGAGTTCAAGGGGGACCTCGAAAATGTCACAAGAACTGTCCGTGTTCCCATGACATTTTCCCAGGTTCCCGCAGAGACAGACACCTGCTGGTCTTTGAAGGGGCATGGGGGAGCCTCGAAACAGTAAAACAGCACAGGAGTGATCATGGGGCACAAAGGGAACAGACGTCAACCACAGGTCAGAGTGTGCCTTGTCACAGACACAAGATCTGCACCTGCAATGTAATAAAATAATCTACAAAGTAACAAATTTGAATCAATTTGGGTTGGGAGGGTGGTGGTGTGTGTGTGTGTGGGGGGGCAAGATTTAATGTGCAACAGGCCCTCGATCTGAAGATGGTATGCTGACCCTGGAATGAAGACAAGAAGGAAATACTTCGTTCATGTTTGTTTATTCATCATGTAAACATTCAGTTTGTTCACACATCCCATCGGTACAGTCTGTTAAATGACACTTGATCAATGATTTCATGAACAGAATCTCAGCTACGTTAAAGAGAACAACGTATAAAGTCCTCAACGATTGTAATGAACTTAAAAATGTAAATGATGGATTTCTTTACAAATCTACGAGGTAGCGAGAACACAATGTCTTCGTCTGGTGTTTTCTCTCTTAATATTCACGCAGTGGAAGAGAAACAACAAAATAAAAGCATCAATACAAATATTCATCAAACATTTAGAGCTCAGAGAAGTTGAAATGTTCATGCAGAGAAAATGTCAGTTCAGGTAAACAAACGTCATCATGAGCAGAGATAGCCTCCACGGCTAAACAGACAGGAAGGAGCTCCACCTAAAGAAACTCAAACATTTACAGAACAACTAATGAGAAGATGTCAAAGTACCACCCATAATGTTTGACTGACAGCCACAACAATCAGCTGTCAGCAACAAACATGGAGGCAAAATGAGTTCAAACGCAGAGTTTAACCCTTAATTAAAGGACTTCCGTCTATTTTAGTTTACACAACTCAGCAGTGGCTGCAGAAATAAAAGGCAAAAGTCCGGCATAGAGAGGCTGAGTGAATGTGGTCTGGACTCTGTGGAGGAGAGTCATGGTTTCAGAGACGCTGTAGAAAGACAGAATACCTGCACTGTGATCCAGGTACACTCCTAATCTGGAGGACTGAGGACCTGAGACGGGAGTATCTACTTTGTTGTGCACAAAAGAGTAACTGTTTTTGTCAATTCTTAATGCCCAAGATTTGTCATTCCATCCAAATCCACATTCACTCTTCCCCCCTATTCTGATGATATTCTTGTATGTAACTGCTACATTAACTCCTCTTCCTCTCCACTCCACCTCCCAGTAACACGGTCCAGTAAGAGTCTGTCTACTCAGGACCTGACCATAATGAGTGAATCTGTCTGGGTGACTAGGATAAGACTGTTTTTGATTCAGAACTGTTACTTTTCTGTTTCCATCAGATAATAACAGATATGGGTTTACTGTGTTTGGATCAAGTGTGATTTGACGTGAATATTTTAAGAATCCAGCTCTGGTCTTGGGCTCTGATTGTGAGCGTAAAACATCCACTATAGTCACCGTCAGTGAGGCATTTGTCCACTTCTCTCTCAGAACGTCCTGTAGTTTATCTCTGACTTCTGACACGGCCGCTGTCATGTCCTCAAAGTAGCTCAGAGGACTAACCTCGATGCTGGATGAGTCTGTAGACTCACAGAGTGGTGACAGTGAGGGGCAGTTGTGTAGAAACTGGTTGTAATCCTCTGTGTGCTCCAGCTTCTTCAGCTCAGCGTCGTTCCTCTTCAGCTCAGTGATCTCCTGCTCCAGCTTCTCCTGAAGCTCTTTGACTCGACTCACTTCGGTTCTCTGCTGGGATCTGACCTGCTGCTTCACATCGGAGCTTCTTTTCTCGATGAGACGGATCAGCTCAGTGAAGACCTTCTCATTGTCCTCCACCGATTTATCAGCAGATAGATTGATTTTCTCCTCCTCCTGTTGCAGCAGCTTCACATTTTTCTCCCTGTCCTGGATTCTCTGCTGGATGTTTCGTTGACTCACCTCCAGCTCTCTCTGCCTCTCACCTTTTTCTGCTACAGCTGAGACTGTGTCGTGGCCTTTATGTTCACCCATTAAGCAGAGATAACAGATACACTGCTGATCGGTGCGACAGAAAATCCTCATCACCTCATTGTGACGAGAGCAGATGTTCTCCTGGAGCTTGTTGGAGGGGTCCACCAGCCTGTGTTTTTCAAAGGCAGTGTTTTTCAAATGAGGCTGAAGGTGTTTCTCACAGTAAGAAACCAGACAGACAAGACAGGACTTGATGGCTTTCAGTTTCCTCCCAGTGCAGACATCACAGGCCACATCTTCAGGTCCAGCATAGCAGTGATCAGCAGGAGCAGCTTGGAGTCCAGTCTTCTTCAGCTCCTCCACTAAATCTGCTAACATGGTGTTTTTCACCAGGACAGGTCTCGGTGTGAAGCTCTGCCTACACTGAGGGCAGCTGTGGAGTTTCTTCCCATCCTCTTTGTCCCAGTGGGTTTTAATACAGTTCATGCAGTAACTGTGTCCACAGGGAATAGTCACCGGCTCCTTCAGTAGATCCAGACAGATGCAACAAGACCAGATTGCCTTGTCCAGTTTAATCCTTTTCGGATCCATATCCACTGGTCACAGTGACTTGACAGAGTTTCTCTAGACCGGCTTAACTCAAACTCTCTGCCTTTTGTTCTTCACTGAATGGGGCTCGTCCTGCCCTACTAGATGTTGGTTACATCCATATTCACACTTGCATATCAGTGAGGGGGAGGGGACAAGACGACAAGCTCCTGCATTCCAGGGAGGAGGAGTTTTCTCTTAAAGGGACAGTAAATGTTTCCCTGTCAGTGAAGATTAGAACATAAATGAAATCATGTATTTACTATCGGGAGTTCTTTCACAAGTAGCAGTGTCCACAGGGAATAGTCACCAGGTCCTTCAGTAGATCAGATGCATCAAGAGAAGGTTTCCTGGTCCACATGAACTCCTTTTCTGAGCCGTTCTCTCCTCGTGGCAGAGGCTGTTGTGTGAGCTGGCTGTTTCTCTGCAGGAAGAAGAGGGAGGAGTTAACACGCTTTCATGTGATTGGACAGCAGCAAAGCGGAGGAGGGGGTTGTTTGTTACTCTCTCTGCAAAGCTCGAACTAGAAAGCCTCATTTGAGATAAAAGAAATACACACTTTGGTTGTCAGTATAAGTTTCAGCTTTTTCTTTAATTAATGCTGCAGCTCCTCAAAACCAACTCGAGGCTGTTGGCAGCATGTTCATGATCATCATGGGGAGAAACCTTGGTCTGGTCTGCTTAAAAGAGAGAGTAGTATTAAAGAAATTGGGGATGTTAAACTGGTGATAGATTTAACAAAGATTTCCCTGTACATTTAAAGTTACACTGTAACACTGTCTCCCTTCAAAACCCTGGTCAGTAACCTGTACAGTGCATCAATCTAGTGCACACTGTCAATACATAAATAACTGTAGTGGTAACTCTTCTGTTTGTACAAAAAGAAAAGAAAAAAAAAAACACCATACAGTTAATTAAGAACATGAAACATTAGGTCCATTAACAAAGAGAATATATATATATATATATATATATATATATATATATCGCAATATACTCACAACATCTAATCTTTGTGCTAGCTCAAATGCACATTTGGCGGCCACGCACACCAATCCCATACAGCACTACATAAACGAAAATAAACATTTTCAGTACAGTACACACACATTAAATGTTCTTAAACATGAAGGATAACAGAATGCATAGAATGTATGTAGGATGGTTTTAAAATGCTAAACGATATTAGCTTTGTAGTTCTCTCCTGAACGCTCAACACGTGTTGATAACATCTGTAACCATCGGACCAATTAAATCACCATCGGCGCATTTAGCGTCAAAAACACATTTCCTGACTTCTATACACACATATTAATGTACATCTTTCGATCATTTTGTACAGAAATAACATTTAGAACATATTTACTTACACGGAAAACAACTAACGCTCCACAGGTTAGCCACTCGAAAAGAAGGATTTCACTTTGCTTCGCTCTTTACGTCCCACTAGCTTTCTCTGGAGTACAGCGCCCTCTAGTGGCTTTAGTGGCAACATCATTTTTGGTTGTGTTCTAAGTGGTAAATGTTGAATTAATATTGACAAGTTAACGCGTTATTATTGCTTTAACGCATTAATTAATTAACGCCGACAATTATTTTATCGCGCGTTAACGCAGTTTTTTTAATATTAAGCGACATTTTTAACACAAAAACCGGCAGCGAACGGTGAACAGCTGTGTTTGTGTGGGGTATCTTCGGTCTCTTCCTGTTTCCTTCACCTACACCCCGCTGGGTCCTAAGTCCCTCCCTGTACAGCTTCTTATTACCCTCTATGTACCAATGTAGATTTATAACAAATACCATACTTATTACGGTAATCAGCGTTGCATATGTGTCTGACCTAAATATCAAAAAAAGCAAAAAAGAAATGATTCATCTAAATTATTTTTTTAGTTTTTAAAGTTTTTTTGTTTGGAATATGTATAATAAGCATATCATTTAGTTATCGCTACTGAGAATTTAACAAACATAACAAAAAGAAAAAACATGACGTAGATAGGTTTGCAGTTTTCAAGGTGTATATTTCAAATTGCATCTCTTACACACATGAAAATAATGTTGTCAACACCAGCTGAATATCTATTATCAGAATCATTATAACTGTATTTGAACTGCTACTGTGTAAAGAGAATACTGCTGTTAAAAAGCACCTTATTTGTTTAAAGTGTTTGCAAACCAAATGTTATTGCACTTTTGTTCATATAGCAGTACTTTAAAATAAAAGTGAGCAATACACTACTTTTGAATTCATTATTGAATTTTGCGCATAACAATGCGATTAATCGCGATTAAAAATTGTAATCATTGCCTAGCACTAATATATTTATGTTTTTATTTATTCCTTTCATTAATTTATTTGTTTTGTCTCAAGTTAAACTTAGACACAAGGCACATACTGTACATGTAGACATCAATATGTTTAAATAAAAAAAATAATAAAAAACACAAAATAGCACAAAGGCATGACTAACTGACAGTGGTTGATGGAAACTACATTTACTTTACACTATAGATAAGATAAGATGGACCTTTATTGATCTCCATAGGGGGAATTCAGAAAATCACGCGATTAATCGCCATTCAAAATTGTAATCGTTGCCCAGCACTAATTTATATCAATATGGCTTTTATGTTTTTATGTCTTCTGTAAAACAGGACATGCTAATGTGTAATAGTGTTTTTCTCCAAAAACGAATGTTGTAAAACTTAAAAAATACTCTGTCCCTGCTCTCTGAAACATTTATTAAGGATTAATCATACATGTATTAATGAGACATAGGCTATTTAGACATTCTAAATAGATCTGTAGTTTAAAATTTGGTATAGACAATTACTATGAGGGATGTCTTGGTCTGGGTCAAAATTGACCACTTTTTTTTTGCAACAATATCGAGTTCAGGGAACGTTCTGCAAACGTTGACTTTAACCCATTCTGGACGGACATGTTTTCAACAGTCCATGTCAATTGAACAAAAGCCATCCACTGAGGAAGACCGTGGAGATTCAGATGAAAGACCCATGAAAGGCTAAGTGGACCTTGATTTGTTTTAGTCAATTTGATAAGGTTTTGGCGCAGGTACACACATTTTTATATCAAATAAGACGGTCACACACAAGAATAGTGAGCTCGAGACACCTCTTGTTACGACCTCCCGCTGGTCCCCTGACCCCACTTTGAACCTCTGCTGTGCTAATAGCCTGGCAGGTGAACCACGGTGCGTGACACACACAGGTTTAGGTTACGCCGCCTCCTGCTCTGGACAGCTCCCGTGGTACTGAACCACCAAAGTGATCCCGCGGCTCGAGCTATAACTCTCGCCTCTGATTGGATAAGAGATGCACGGTCGACTACCAAGCCCGCCGCCCATTGGTCGTTTCACCTGCCAGACAAGCGGCTTTCCTTCCCAACAGACTGAACCGGGGAGCAGCTGCGGCGGAACCGGGGAGCTCAGTGTCACCGGGCTGCCGGACGGAGGTGATGTCACGGCGGGGTCGGTGAAGCTGGTCGCCACGGGGCTCGCGAACATATCCGCACAAGTAAGACACATTCCTGAATGTAACGTCTTTCCGTGCTGACAGGATTAGAGAGCTGCGCCGAATGGCCTGCTGCCGTGAGGAGGTGTTAACTATTGACTGTCACTGAACACCGACAGTCAAATCACTTAATGAATGCACTGCGTGGTTTGTTTACTCGAAAGCAGGTTTGTGTTTGCAATATTTTTCGCAAATGCATTTAAATTCTAACACATCACAGACACTAAATATATGGCGAATGAGTACCTTTTAAAATGACCTGAAGGTGCTCGAGCTCAATGCGACCGATACATAGTTATTTCATAATCTCGTGGTCCATTTTTTAAATTGTATTGAACTTAAATGTAGCATGTTTTGTCGTTAAATCCATTGCACCACTTCTGAAAAAGTATCACAACGAGTCAGCTGGCAGTTGCGCACGCACGTGACGTGCGCGCAATTTAAGATATGAACCGCCGTGACTCGCTGATTCTCCTCCTTTTACTGTTTTAACACAGTGTAGTGTGCACGGGATGCTCAGGCACCTGTTGCACCCTGATGGGGATTTATCTGCCTTAATGCAGCATCCATCATAACGCATGCAGCGCCCCGTTGGGGATAGTTTTGACAGGTGGGGTAGCTTGCTTGTCATTGATGAGAGCAGTGATATCTGCACAAACTCAGCAATGATTTACACAAACGGATTAGATTTACAAGATAAAAACAGTCATTTGTCAAATTATTCCAGTACTCGCCTGCGGCTATAATGAAAGGAGAGGAGGCAGCCTGCTGCTGGAACTGTTTATATCGCATATACACACTTTATTTGCATGTTAAAGTTTCTGTTTGCTATTTGCAAAGAGAAAGGAGAGATTTGTATGACTCAGCAGCTAGATTTGGACGTCATAATTACATAGACTTTGCAAACCGAATGCTCCATATTGTCTTTAACTATGATTTATTTGTCTTTTGGCCTTCTTGCAAATTAGGCAGGTAATCTTTAATGTATTGCAGTAATGTTTTCCACTCATTCTATACCGGTGACCTGGATTAGAAACTCAATACTCAGTATTTCCATATCTTTGATGCAAAAATAGCACTTTTTGGAGGGTCTGTTTACTTCCGCCTGAATGCAATTTGTTCTTGATTTGAAGTCTTTTGATGGCCAATCACTCAGAGCACATGAAACACTGCGCTTCATGTGTTCTTTCTTTGATGCAAACCCCTTTGAAGCGCTGGCCGTGAATAAAATGCACACTCAGATGGCTCTTTAAAGCAGTAAGAAGTAATTGACCGAATAGATTTGGATTTGCTTCGGTAGATGCAGGATTTAAAGTGTCTGCTACATTGTGTTTATTGTGCTCCCTGCATACACCGTCATGGTCACCCTGTTCAGGCTTCAGAGACAGTTCTTTCTTTTTACTACATTATAGTGATAAGTCATGCAACATAAAAAAGATAAATGTCAAACAAAATATATGTAAAAACAATGGTGAAGGGTTGCATAGTGTCCTCATGTGTTAATTTGTTGCAGTTGACCATTTGCAAAGCCAGGTAAAGTATAATAGTAGTTTGAGGGCATTCATAGAGATCAGTGCAGCTTTGGTTTGGACTTGTTTTCTTTTTGGAAATGTGAAATATTTGCCCCATAGATTCCAGAGAGGCCTTCCTCTCTGTTCCTAGGGCCCGTATAGTCTTCATTGTTGCAGCTCTTTCACTGTTGAGCTCTTTATTCTTGTCAGCCGTGCGTCTCAATTGACACGCTGGGGAGCTTTGTGTGGAGAGAGAGAGCTCGCGCCTGTGTGCTCGAGCAAAGGGTGCGTGTGTATGTGTGTGTGTGTATGTGTGTGTGAGTGCGTGCGTCGCCTTTTGTCCTTGAATGCATGGAGGCAGTGAAAAAAGAGAACGTGACACAAGCACATGGCGGAATGACGGCCGGGACGTGAGGTGAACGGGAGGCAAAGTGAGGGGCTTTTCAGAGACAAAACAGACAGATGTTTCATAGCTTGTGATGTGTGTCTAATTCTTGATCCACAGCTGGTGGGGATGGGCTCTCGTGTTTTTTATTTATTTTTTCGTTGTTGGAGTGTGTGAAGAGGCTGCTGATGTGGTCAGAAGCAAAGAGCGCCAGGCAAACCCTCTGCCTTCTCTTTAGGGATCCTCAGACAAGTGATTGAATGTCTGGTGAGTAGGGACCTGTGCTTGGTAGTGTTTTGCCCATGAAGGGCTGGCTGTTTATGTGTTGTATTCACTGAGTATTTTGTATGTTGAATGCTCTATATGTCTGTAATTCAAGCTTGAAGCAGCAAAGTTGGGAGGACTGGATACATTCATCCAATTTTCTGCTGCTTATCCGGAGCCAGGTTGCTGTAGCAGCAGGCGAAGCAAGGTCCCATGTCCCCCAGCAACGTTTCACAGCTTACTCCTTTGGGACCCCGGGGTGTTCCCGAGCCAGATGAGATAAATAATCTCTTCAGCCTGTCTTGGGTATACCCTGGTGTTTCCTAAAAGTTGGACATGCCCGAAAAAACTGAGGAATCTCTAAGGGTGAGCCCTGCTACCCTGCGGAGAAAACATATTTTGGCTGTTTGTATCTGCAATCTGGAGCCAAGCTTCATGATGATAGAGGCCTTTTTTTAATGTAGACTTGCTTGTAACCCGTGGGAAAAATTTGTAGCTTTAAAAAAAAGATTAAGTTTGCGTACATGGTTTGACTAGGAGCCAAAATATTTGTTAAATGATTTTAAACGGACAAAAAAGCAAGTGAAGCTGCAGCTAGTTAATCTTGGGTAGTTTGTCTTGACACACAATATAAGTAAAATTAATCAAGGTGCTTCAACAGTCAATATCAGCTTTAAGTGACGATCAGACAGGTGTGAGCAAGGCACTGTATTTGTGAGGTTTTTTATGATTCTTCCACTGGTGCCCTCTCTTGCTCCGTCTGTCTGCTCATGTGCGTATGAATCCATCAGTCTGCTCATGCACATAATTAGCACGGGCACTGTATACACTGTGTACCTAAGCCTCAGCATGACCAAAAAAAAAAGAAGAAGTCAAACAAACATGCTCGGCCAGTGTCCATCACCAAGCAACCACCGTGCAAAGCACGAAGCAATCTGGGTAGCTAACTACTACGCGTCTATTGTCCCTCTGTGGCGATGCTCACCACTTAATGTAATTCAGTAGATCCACTTAGTTATTTGAAAGCTCTATACTCAACAGGGCAGAGTGTGTGTCACGCTCTCTTCAAGAGATTTTAGTCATTTGTTTATGAAGATTAGAAAGTATCATACTTGGCAAAGACAAAGAGAAAATCTGACTCTCTCTGCTTCTCCCCTCCAGACGCCCGTTGTGGCTGGGTTTAGTTATGTCGTGTTGGTTTATTTTCGTATTTCGTCTTGCACCTTTGCGACTCCCACGCATCGCGCACACTACTGACACCACTGATTTCCACAATCTTTTGTTAAATGTCAAAGTTTGTTTGGTGCTGCAGGTAGACATCATATTTGTTGACGTCATGGTAACATGATATGTGATAAAGTGCTGTCCCATTTACACCATTTCAAGCCCTTGCAGTCTCACACTCAACCATTCACCAAATGACGTCAGTAAGTCCCTGAGGGTTCAGGGTTTAGATTTAGGGGGACATTGGGATATATATACTCGGGGTTATTTGAACTAACTCGGATCAGCTGTTCTGGAGCTGAAAACATATCAGGGTTCATCAACTCAAGAGTTCAGGGTACGGCTCAGAGTTTGTTAAACCTGCTTTCTGAAACAAGCCACAGCTGGTGCAAATAGCTAAACCATTATGGCATTATTGTGGCAGGAAGAAAAGTGTAAGGAGGAGATTAGAGATGCGTTTTTATCTTTGTTTGAAGGAGATGTTACGGATAAGTGAGCTTGGTGCCAGCGCCTGTGTCAGTGTCTGAGCCAGCAGCTGTGCAGACAACTGGTTTGACCTTTGAGCAGCAGAAAAGTTGTTAGTTGTGCAGTTTGAACAAGCGAGGATACGCTTAAAAATGGACCTATAGAGTCGGAGAAAGGGGGCGGATGTGAAACAGGTGTCTGATAAGCTGTGTGACATTGCACTGGCTGTATTCCAAGACATATTAAGCCATCCTTAGTCAGTATATCAACAATATATGTTTAAGATTGAAAAAATTCAGTTTCCTGATGATGATTAGGTCCCAAAAGTCTTTATTGCTCTGCTCATTATTGATTTGTTTATCTCATGCATGGTTGTCCTTTTAGTCTTTTTATTTACATATGTGAAAGGCTGGTACGGCATTCAGGAGCTTGTCGCTTTGTGCTGTAAAGTGGACGCCTCTCCTCTCTTAGCAAGTCCTTTTAGTCTGCCTGAGATCAATGCTTAGATATTCATGGAGCCATGGCAGGAAGGTGTTTGAAGGCTGGGAGACTGCCGGGCCTCACAAAAGACGATCACTTTGATTTCCCAGCGAGGCTTTAATATAGATTCATTCATCCTGCTGTAGAGATGGATGAGAGAACACCTTCCAAAGCGCCATGTTACGCTAAGTTGACCCTTTCTGCTCCTGCCTTATACACACCATGTTATGTCACTTCTATTTAAGATAGAAACTGTCAAACTGGACACCCTGTAGATTGTTTCATTTCAATGTTACAGCACTTTGCTGCATCATTTTTGTGTTTCAGTGAAAGGAAAAAGATTTTTGCACAGCAACTATAACTGATATCAATATTTTTTTTAATCCATAGTTATACTTCCAATTGTTTAGTGTTGACATTTAACTGGATCACCTCAGTAAATGAGGTGTTTTTGTTCCATACAAACAAGAACTTCACAAATGCACCACTGCTCTGTCCTCTTTGCTATTGTGTGGATGCGTGACAGGTTACCCTGTCAGTTCAGGTGTCAGTTGAATGTTGAACAATTGACTTAAGCTGGCTGGAAGTATTAATTGTGCACGTTATTATTCTGTTGAACACCAAAAGATAATGATTTGGCTCATTCTGAAAACATATATGTCTGCAAAATCGAGTTTCCCCTTCCCCTCAGAGTCCCCCTCTCTCTGTTCCCTCTCACGGGACATTGTTAGAGCGTTGTTTTCTGAGCACAAGCAATTATCACCTAATTACAAACTAATACGTACTGTACCTCTCGCACACATGGGAGTGACAGTCATCGCTCATGCTCCCCATTCGAAATGGAGTAAGTTAGGTCGCGAGTGTGTTGTTGGTGGTAGAGAGTGATGAGAGTGATTTGTTTATTTTGGCTCCCATGGCAATTGGAGCGGGACTCGAGCGCTAAATTAAGTACGGATTACAATAGACGGACACTCAAGCAGATGCTGCACTTGTGTTGACATGTGCACACAAACCCTTTAACGTGGTGGGTGGAAAAACATATTTCCAAAAGTTCTGCACAGATGTTTGGCCCCAGAATAAAAAAGATCTACAAAATTGCTATAAAACAGATTAAAGCACAATAATTAGACAGTAAAAAAAGAAAAGGAAGGGCTGCATGAGCACCAAATTTAACATGACTGACATTTCTTTTTGTTTCTCTCTTCAGGTTGTCTCACTAAACGCAGCACGGCTGCACCCTGACACTATCAACCGCTCTCCTCCAACCCCCCCATCCAGCTCCTCTTCCCTCCTCCTCAACATGTGGCCTCTTTATACCCCTGGAGACTCGGAAGAGCCCATTAAAGCTACGCAGACCTCTTCAAGCCGGAGACAACAGTGAGCATGACTCGACGGTCGGTCTGATCTCTAGCCTCAGTGCCTTCTCTTTGACAGCAGCACAAAAGGAAAAAAAAACTAAGGCTTTAACTACTGGACTTTCTTGAAATAAACGAGACCGTATGTCCATCAAGCTTCAGAGGACAAACTGATATTACATTGCGGAGCGGACAATTTGCAGCTGCAGCAGATTTCATGAGAAAGCCTGGATGCAGCATGCGCTCGCGTCCTTGGACTGGAGGCTCTGTCCCGTTTCTTTGAGATACAGGAAAAAACATTAGCATTTGTTTATTGACTCCGTTGTCTAAACAGCTATGAGATTTGGGCAAGGACACTGAAATAATTTAAGTTCTAAAGGGCTCACACATCTGAAGGTAAGTCAAGGTTTTTGTTCCATCTGAATTTGCTCCATATCAACTTTTAAATTGCATCAATGATATTGCATCTATGATAGAATAGGAATTGTTCATTTTGTGTTGCTGCTAGCTGTTCAACTTTTGCAAATCCATTTATTGTTAATCTGATATGTTTAGACAATAAAATAGAGCATATATTGTAGTGGTCTTAAAATAAATGTATGACACTTCACCATGCAGTTAAATAGAAGCGGAAGCAATTTTATTTCTTGTTATCTTGCCCTTTAGTTTAAAAGGGTAGATTTTACAGCCACTGGCATAATAGCAGGAGCATCAATCATTGAGCAAATTATATTTTTCTCCTTATTGGGCAACCAGTCCTCCACCACCGTCAGCCATGAGCTAAGCCCACGCTGAGCCCCCTGGGAGTCCCTTGCAGGATGACTGCTGTCTGCCCGTCCGAGAACAGCCCAGAGGGGGCTGAAGCCGGGGCCAGGACAGCAGGCGCTAGGGGCCCAGGGGCAGCAAGCACCGCTGGGAGCATCTCAGTTTCCGAGCCAGAGGCCGGGGAGTCAAACGGAGACTCTGTCGGAGGCACGGTTGGAGGCACGGCCGTGGTCGGCGGTGGCCAGAGGTGCACGCGCTGGAGCCGCCAGGACAGCTCAGACATCAACACAGATGATGAGGGAGCCACCATCCGCCGCCTCACGCCACTGGAAAGGCTGAACCTGGATATGTGCCAGGATGACAGGTAGGGGTCAAAAGATGGGGCAGTAATCGCCTTTATTTTATAGGTCCTTCGGTAGCTGTATGTTCATTTTAAAATTTCAATTTGCTTTTTTGACTTACCAGCTGGGGAAATTTTCCTCAACGATGGCGCCACTGTAGTGTATATCATACAGAATATTTAGTGTTACAGCTTCTGTTGTGTAATCCGGTCACAGGGTGGTCCGCGAGATAACAGTGGGCAGACGGATCGGCTTCTACAAAATTCGGGGAGAGATTGGCTGTGGAAATTTCTCCCATGTCAAGCTCGGAATTCATGCGCTCACCAAAGGTAGGAAAGAACAAGACACAAGTGAAATGCAAGTGCTGAAACGCCTGCACTCAAGTACAGGAACACGTCTATTAAAGAGTGGCAATCCTGCACACTATAATGCTGTTCTATAGAGGGGAGACTGATTGGCCATCACTAAAAAGGTCCAAACACATCCGTTTGTAATGATAAGAGTCTTAGCTAACCTCCCATTCGCTCTTTTGGATCATATTAGATATAAGTGATGATTTGGCCGGTGAGCTGTTTCCATCAATGGGCTGCAACACTAACAAGTGTGTCCTTATGTAGCAATTCACTTACAAAGTGATGTGTGCCATGGCCAGGGGGCTGATTCAGCCACGAAGAGACAGACTGTCTGCTGCCCTTGAACAGATGGATTGATTAGAGATCTCCAGTTTCCTTAGCGACGGCTAAAATTGCTGCATGCCTCATCAAAGGCTAAAGAGAGGAGGAGTGGGTAGCTCTGTCTGTGTGTCTGTGTGTGTGTGTGTGTGCACGCTCAATATCTTTCTTGGTTATATGTACTTTTGTCTGCCTGTCTGTGCCGTGCTATGTGCGTGTGTGTGTACGTGTGTGTGTGTAAGTGGTATCGCTGAGTCATCCTCAACCAATATGAGCTGCGATGTATTTTGAATGCTCCTATTGAAAGCTATGTCACAGCTGAAAGGGAGCCTAATACCAGCCTGAATAATGCAGACTGACGCACAATTAGATATCTCAACACCATTTTGCCTCTTAAGAACTTTTCTGTATTCAGTTACCTGAGGTCTATTTGACGTCCCTTTGTGAGTCATTCAACAGCATACAGTGAAGATATCAGTTGTATGAATTTGATACATTTTAAATATTCAGGTCTTTATTGGATGTACAATTGGTACGGACAATGTTACAAACTCAGCATGCTGTGTTCCTGTCATATTTATTCTTAACCCTGACATGACATGACATGATATGTGCTCAGAGCTGAAGTCACTTGAAAAAGAGCAATTTTCCTTCATTTGCAAAAGCACATTTCCTTTTGAAGCTTAGGCTAAAAGGAAGACTTGCCCCCCCCCCCCCTGAAAGAACATAATCAAGACAATTGGTTTCTGAGGGCAGCTAATCCTCCATCACATTATCTAGAGGAGAGCATCGGGCTTGGCAACTTCTGCAGCAATTCTGTGTTTGCCGAGTTGAGCAAGGCTCACATTTTCTATCCTCTATCTACATGTATGTATCACGTGTAATGCATCATTTCTCAGAAAAATGGGAATATTTGAATGAGAAACACAATGTCAGCACTTATATCCTGATTTAAAAACAAAAACAATGTTGATTTTTATTTTTTTTTTCTCTATCAAGTATTTCTCTGCATCCTTTGAAATCTGTATTACTGACTCCTCTATACAAATTAGTCATTTTTCAGCAATCATTGACCGTAATCTTGTCCCTTGGCATCACCAGACAAAGTGGCCATTAAGATCCTAGACAAAACCAAGCTGGATCAGAAGACCCAGAGGCTGCTGTCCAGAGAGATCTCTAGCATGGAGAAGCTGCACCATCCCAACATCATACGCCTCTATGAGGTTCGACTCATACACACTCTCATTTTGATTCATACGTCAACGTTATCTGATCCCTATGGGCTTCCTCAACGATCACCACGTCTGGCCCAACGTCTGATGTACTTCTCAATATCTCTACACTCTGACTTTCTGGACTTTCTGGTCGTTCATCTTTTAGGTGGTGGAGACGTTGACACGGTTACACCTGGTGCTGGAGTACGCAGGAGGAGGGGAGCTCTACACCAAGATCTCTACGGAGGGGAAGCTTTCTGACACCAATAGCAAGATCGTCTTCGCTCAGATCCTCTCTGCTGTGAAACACATGGTCAGTCCATATAAGTCTGCATTGAGGTGGTATGTTTAAGTAAAATAATGGAAAACTCAATGATGGTATAGATTAAAACAACATATTCTGTTAATCCCTAAGAATATGTATACACGAGGGTTAGTATGATCGTAAAAGATTAGGAAAATAATGTTTATAGATTTGTCCATGTAGCAGCTTTGCTGGATCAGTAGAATTTCAGTGGCAACAATGTCTCATTGATTTCTGTCTGGTGGGGATTCAGTCTATTAATGTTGAGTCTCTAATCCTTGAACAATTAATCAGTCATACTGCACTTTTACCTCCATCACCTTAATTCCATTGACACTGTTGTTCTATAGGTTTATGTTCATATATATACTTTTTGGATTTAAATTATATATTGTACATAGTCGTTAATGTTTATGCCTACATCTGTTCTACTTTTTTTTGTTGTCCTTTTTTATTTTTTACAATTTTTTTTCCTGTTTATTTGTAAATTCTGTGTATGTACGTGGAGAGCAACAAAAAAAGAGTAAAATTCCTTGTATGCGTGTATGCATACATGGCCAATAAAGCTGATTCTGATTTAAAGATCCGCCCAAATATGTTTTAACACGCATTCAATTATTCTCCTTGTATTAATGACGTACTGATATGCTTTTTCCACAAAAAGAAATTTGTTCGCTTTACACATTAAGAAACCATAAAGTAACATCTCCCCAAATCCAGAATCTATGAAAATCCAAATATTGTTAATGTTAAAAGTTGAACTGCTGGACACGAGAGGTCTGCTTCTTGACTGAGTCCACTCTCAGTGTATTTGCACTTGAGGCTTCAAATGTCCACATCGTACGTGACGTGAAAAGTGGGTGGCCCTTACATAACGCAGTTTCTCCTCGATTCTCCCACAGCATGAAAACAACATCATCCACCGGGACCTGAAGGCCGAAAATGTCTTCTACACCAGCAGCTCCTGTGTCAAGGTCGGGGACTTTGGCTTCAGCACACTGAGCCCCCGCAGCGAGACTCTCAACACGTTCTGCGGCTCTCCGCCGTACGCGGCGCCGGAGCTCTTTCGGGACGAGCACTACGTCGGCGTCTTTGTTGACATCTGGGCCCTGGGGGTGATGCTGTTCTTCATAGTGACGTGCACCATGCCGTTCAGGGCAGACACCGTGGCCAAGCTGAAGCGATGCATCCTGGAGGGAGCCTACATCCTGCCCACGTGGGTGCCAGAGGCATGCCAGAGGCTGATCAGGGGAATCCTCCAACCCACACCATCTGACCGCTGCACGGTAGAGCAGATGATGGGCTGCGAGTGGCTGCTCCCTGTGGACTTCCCGCATGCCATGGAGCCCTTTAAACTAGACCCATTCTACCTAGCAGAGAGCGATCCATCTGAACTCGGGGGGGGAAGAGGTGGAGGTAAAAGCAGCACTGGAGATGCTGGGAATCAGCGCAGAACACATCCTCAACAACCAGGGGAAAGACTGCAGGAGCTCCATCACAGGGTGCTATAGGATCCTGCTGCACCGTGCTCACAAGAAACGGGCTGCTGAGAGGGCGCCTGCGGTCGCACAGCCAGTCGGACCAACAGCAAAGACGAAAAAGGAACGGCTAAAAGTGTACCGTAGCTTGAGGCACACGTCTAAACTCTGTGTGGTTCTGTGACAAAGTGCTCTGCTTCGCTCTGGGAATTAATTAGCTTCATTGTCTGGGGTGAAATTACATGGACTTTATTAGCAATTTAAAAAAAGTGCTATTCAGTCCAGCAGTTTGAATTTAAATCATGATTAAAAAGCCCACTGAGCTTCTGAAATCTGGGATTTCTTACTTTGGTATCTTTCTTCTAAGTAATATTAGTCTCTGTGAGAATGTTGATGCAGCTGAATCACTGTTGTCTCCCTTTTGGGCAGGGACCTGTAGTGCTGATGAGATTTGGAAATGTTTTGAAGTATAATTGATTTGAGTAAACATAATGATGATTAGATGGCATACACAACTTTAATCTGGGTCACGCAGGCCAGATGTTTATAGCCCACGCTCATGCTATCTATGCTCAGCAAACACCAATAAGCCCTATATGAGAAATCACTGTAGCATACATCTAAAGGAAAAGAGATCCACAAAATGATGCTGAGTTGATAAAGTGGTGAAACATGCAGCCCGAACATGAAACATGGGGTCTTCATGTTCAATTGCACTTTTCTTTGATGCCTTAGTTTTCTTTCATGTTATGAAATCAGCCAGACTGGTTTCATTATACTCCTTAATGTTTGTGATAACTTGAATAGAGATTTCACATCTTACATTATGTGATGTATCTCTATGAGACGTTCCTGCTGTTACACTGATTTACCTGAATGACTTCGCTCTATTTTTCCTGTGGCCTAAACAAAACAGATTCATGTCATTAAACTACAAATACCAACATACCAACCACCAAAGTTTTATTATTGATCATGTGGCAAAATACATCTTTTTAATACAAACTCAGACATTTTCGGAATGAGTTTCAGTAATTATTATTATCTTTAACTATCTGATGCCATGTTCATGCTCATGTGTTGATGAAATGAAATTGAAAAATGTAAATGCATTCATCCTTTTTTGTGAAATATTTATGATGCTTTTGTGTTGTAATCATTTCAACACTAGATATACATTCACCGGTAATTTGTGAGCAATTATTCCAGGATCTTTCTTTTTTCTATTATTATTATTATTAATATTATCACACAATGCAGACTCTAGTGTGCGGCAAGCTACATAACAGCAGCCCAGACACTTCAGTGGTTCATTCATTTTGTATTGTTTATATTCCTTCTATTTTCTGTTATTA